ACCGGCCGCGCGGCCCCGCCCGAGGCTCCGCCCCCAGACCACGTGACCCGCGCAGGCGCGCCCCTGCCCCGCCCACCGCCGCGGACTCCGCCCCCGGCACGCGAGCGAGCAAACGAGCGCGCGCACTCCCTGCTCTCGACCGGGAGATTCCCGCGCACGCGCGCGCCTTTCACCGCCTCCACGTCCCCCGCCTCCCGCCATCCGGCTTAACGTGGTCCGCGCGCGCCCGGCGGTTCCAGTGACAGGTACGCGGGGAGGGGGCCATGAGGGCAGCGCGCAGGCGCAGATCCAGGCCTCTGCCTCGCCGCCTCCCCCTCCCTTGCAAGGTGTGCCCCGGCGAGGGGAGGGGCTGTTAGCCCGAACTCCTGGGTCATCCAGAATTAGCAACAAAAAAGCTTTTAAACCCATTTGGGTAGGTTAAAAGGCAGATGTGCACAAACATTTTGTCAGATTTCCTTCAAGTATAAGGAAGGTCGATGAGATCGGACGATTAAAATGCTTTTTTTAAATTAGTATCTTCATAAAGCTATCCTTTAATTTTTGTTATTTTTCTGAGAGGGCCGGGCTTTTGCTATTATAATTTGAGATTTCTAAACTTGGCCTAGGTTCCAAGAATCCACTTGGCTTTTATAGAAATCCACGTGGATGAAACTGGGCTTAAACTGGGAATCAAAAGAAACAAAACTAGCCTTTTCCCCTCTTCGTCACGCCCAACTCATTTAAAGCATTTCCCTACTGTTCTTTTTCTTGCTCAGAAAAAAAAACAAAAAGGTTATGATTCCGAGGACTGATTTGATTTCTCCCATTTTAAGCACGCTCCAAGGAGGAATCATAGAAGCAACAATCACATCCACTAAGTTTTCTGACCCAAGATGCAAACGAATGCAAATGTAAACAGAGCTATGCAAGTCACCACAAACAAAATAGCTCAGAAAATAACTCAGTAGCAACAAGGTCTAAGAGCCAGGATCCTCACTGTTCTTAGTGAAACGATTATTTGTCAAAACTTTCCCTATTCCTACTGAAAAGTTTGGATGCCTTTTTTGGGAGGGAGGGGCTTTGGTGTATCTAAAAATGGGAAAACTTAAAACAAAAATGACAAAGTATATATTGACAAAGTATATATTTAATAAACAGGACCAAAAAAACTACATAAATGTGCTCAGCTGGTGAGCAATGCAATCCTTAATAAATAGGAAATGGAATTTGAGAGACAGATTCTTAGCAAAGGGGAAGAATTTCCAAGTGTGATGTTTTGCTGGCATTTTATATATAACCCCTAAGCCCACATATGGTCTGGTTAGTCTTTTATAAAAAGGAAGTGAAGCAATTACTTACTCACACTTAATTAATTAGCGCCAGAAGTAGGTTCTTAGGCCAGAACTCTTTTTTTTTTTTTTCACTCAAGTACACTGATCACTTCGAGTGCTAGGGTTCCTTTTCTCAGGGAAGATGAATACCTTTCTTTAAAATATTTTTTAGAGCCTTATAAATAGTCACATCCTAAAACATAGTCCAAAGACATATTCTTCATAAACAAGAAGCTTTATTGAACTTAAAACAAATGACTTCCAGCATTGCTCCTAAACAAAGAAAGTATAAACTCGTGGAACCAGGTTGAGTCTTAACCTAAGTGTAGCCTCACTCTACATGTTAATGGATAACCTTTGAACTCCGAAACCCTGAATGCTGTAAACACAATAAGGCTGATAGTTAAAAATCCTATCAAAATTGAGCAAAAATAATCCAAACTTTTCTGTAGGAATAAGGAAACGATCAAAAGTTTTGACAAGTAATCCTTTCACGAAGAACAATGAGGCTCCTGGCCCTTAGACCTTGTTGGTACTGAATTATTTTCTGAGCAAAAACGGCTGTGCTTTTCTCTATGCCCTCCCTCACAAAGCTACTTACTACTTCTAGCATAATAGCATCATATGGTTTGTTAGCTACTGTTTCTCTCTCCTCCTGACCCCCCCTAAAAAACCTTATTATGTATAGCTTTTCAAATTGAAAGATAATTGTATTAAATGATTTATCTCCTAAGAGCTTTATATGTAATTTTTATGTTTGAGCAAAGAATTACAAAGAACCTTATTCCTGGAAGCATGCCAACAAAACTGGGAAATCATTGCAAAATTCTGCCAGCGACTGAGTGCTGAGTTGCAAACACATACTGTGTTTTTAAATGGACATAGAGTGATCTGAATTTGCTGTAAGGGCATCCGAGACACATTTTCCTTTTAGAATGTAGCAGCTCATACTTAAAATGTATTTGGAAAGCGTGTATAGTTAAAAAAAAAAAAAAATTTTAAATGGAAACTCCAAAAGTAATAAGAGAACACTGGAATACTTGGTTTTGTAATAAAAGCTAAGAAGTCATATTATTGTGAAATGAAAATTGAAAATCGAACGTTGGTCTACATATACTTAGCTCCACCCATGAGTAATCCTTTTGTCGTCATCACCCCCTAGCTAGACAAATTCTAAAGGAATCAGGTGCTGCAGACACAGGCAACACAAACAAAACAGGGAATCAGAAATGTCCCTTCAAATGTGAGCTGATGCTCTAAACATGTTACTCGAGAAAAGGGCAGAAAAAGCCCCGCTTCACCTCTTTTTAATGCCACAAACATCAGCTACACCTCATTTTTCACAATTATCCAAACAGACCAGCCCTCCTTAAGATATGCTTCTCAGTGTGTGCTTTTTTAAAATCACACCATTATCTCTGATTTAATCCTAGTGATCTGAGACCTCTTCTTTTAGCTAGCTTCTGATTTTTCTCTCCAGATCCTGCCACAGCAATCTCAGATCTAATAACAAAACAAACCCTTCTAATTTGCTATATTTAACATTTATTGGAATCATCTTTTGAAACTTTGCCTTAATTAGAAGAACAGAATGCGGTATGATCTTATTTCGCAAGTATTTATTCTACTGTGAAACTATTACAGAAAAACAATTTGGAAACTCTGTAGAACCCTGGAGCTGAAATGAAGCCAACATAGATACTTGACTTAAAAAGAATTCAGTGTTCAGAGTAGGAAAACCTGAAAAACTGCAGTGAAGAGTTAGCAGGAAAGAGAATGGAAAAGTTAGCCAAACATGCCAGCTTCTGCAAGGACATTTGAGAAGGAAACCTGGGCAGCCCTTTTAACACGACTGAGTGCACTAAATTAAGTAGGGATCACCAACAACTTGCAGAAAACACTCCACTTCTCTTCTATTAAATGTCTTGATTTCACTCAAATCATCTCAAAATGTTTAAATCCTCTATAAAACATCACAATAATAGATGATAAAAATAAATAGCACAAATTACCTTTCAGAAGTGGAGACAGTGTCTGGAACCTGGAGACGTTCTGAGTTTGCCAGTGCACCTGGCTCTAAACAATACTGGAAGAGAGAGATGTGATTGCTAGAGTTTATAAGCAAACCAAAAAGGGAGGAGCCAAGAATAAGGCTCAATTTAAATAGAAGTTCAGAGACCACCGACTCAATTGATTAGATCACCTTGAGGCCTTGATTGGATTAACTTGATTATGTGCAGGGAGCACTGTTTACTTGAATGGCATTTGTCCCACCGGCAAGTTTGATCAGTGCCCACCCCCATTTGCAAACACAACTTTTGTTTTCCTCTAATATTCTGGATGATTTTCCAAGGTTGACATCGCTCAAAATGTAAATGTAAACTTTCTTTAAAAATTACATGTGTCACATAACTTTCGGAGCACCTCTTTAAAGCTTTTCGCATTCATCTGCTATTCCAAATGGGGTATATAAGAGGAGGTGGGGTTCCAGGAAGGTAACGTTTATTGAAATCCGATTCTCATCTAAATAAATCAAACCATCTTCCATCCAACCACTTACTCAAGCCAAAACCTGGGAGCCAAACTATATTTCATCTCCATCCCCCCACACACCTTTAATCCATCAGCAAAGCTTGTAATTTCTTTCTTACTATGTCTCAAGTCCATGCACTTCACCTCTAACACAAGCCTACTCCGCGGCACCACAAACTCACTCTGTTCTCCAAATGTTTGAGTAAGTGAGGTTTCACCAAACTTCTTTCTAGGTTTGCCTTAATACATTCTCCACCCATAACCCAAGAGGTCTTTTACAGTGTAAATCAGATCATGTCACCGCCCTACTTAATGGCTTCCTATTGCCTCAGGAACAAAGAACAAACTCCAGAGTTTGCCTCACCAGCCCAGTACATCTGGCCCCTGCCTAACTCTCCAGCCTCAGGTCCTGGCCAACTCTTTATTTAGGGTGCTAAGCTTCAGCCATCAGGTCTCCTCTCTGATCCTTCAGACCCATGGTTCCCTTTACCTAGCACTCCCTTCCATTCTTTCTGGAATCAGCTTTTCTTCCTCCCGAGAGTGGGTTAAGCCCAGTGTTCTCTGAGAAGGGGGATGCCTTCTGTCAAGGTGTCAGGATGTTTTCTGTCCTATCGTTTGGGCTCAGATACTCCAGTTCCACCTCCTGAAAGCTGCACTCATTCTAGAATATTATTTAACCTCTCTGGGTTTGTTTCCTCATCCACAGAATGGGGTGATGATGATGATGATAAGAGGAAGAGGAAGAACAACTGCTTAAAAGTTCTCATCACGAGGAAAAAACTGTAACCATAGGAGATGATGGATGTTAACTAACTTATTGTGTAATAATTTCACAATATTCATATACACACACACATACATCAAATCATTATGTTGTATACTTTAAGCTTATACCGTGTCATATGTCAATTATATCTCGATAAAACTGGGAAAGGAAATATACATATAATTATATTATTAATGTAAATAAGAAGAATTTATTTTTGTGTAAGACTCTTTGGAGAATTAAATGAGACACTGCAAAGCTGTAAGCCCAGAGTCTTGTGGGGAGACAGGGCGTTCTAGGCACAGGAGATAGAGCTCACAGTGAGCGAAACAAAGTCCTTGCCTCTTTGGAACTTCTAGAGGGAGACAGACAACACACAGACAGTTATATCTGCAATAAGGTCACTGGAGAGGGGAAGATGCTTGCTGTTTTAGATCGGGAGGAGAAGCCACCCGGGAAGTCAGGCAGCAGGTGTACAAAGACGGGGCAGCAGAAGGTGGGAAGGCTCAGGACAGAAGGGAGGCTGGCTTGGAGAAAGAACTACCTGGAAGCCAGTGTGCCTAGGCCCCAACGAACGAGGACAGAAAGGCAGGGGAGTAGGCAGGACCTTGGAAAGACAATGGCAAGGACAGGTTTTTGACTCCAGTTGCTGTAAGATGTCAGGTGGTCAGTTCTCTATTGCCATTTTATTTGCTACATCAACAGCACTTGATAGAGTCAATCCCTTCCTCTTCCTCTTCCTCTTCCCTTGATTTGGGACATCGGGTTCTGCTAATTTGCCCCAGTCCTCACTGGCTGCTCCTTCTCAGTCCCCTTGACTGGTTCTCCTCTCCCCGACCTCTCCTTTTAAGTGCCCCAGGGCCCAATGCTGGAGCCTTCTCTGTTTCTTATTTATTCCCTAGGTGATTTGAGCCAATTCAGTGGCTCAAAATGCCATCTATAAGGCTCCTAAACTTACATATTTCTCACCCAGACCTTTCCCTTTGACTCCCAAAATTTCCAGCTGCCTACTCCATCTCCACTTCGTTGTCCAGTAATGAATTCTAGATTCTGAGACCACTCTGAGACCTCCCACAACTCGCCACTACTAATGGATACGTAGTATGGAACTGTATGAGACGCTGCGGGAAGCGAATGTTGATGGAGATGAAAAGTGGGTGGAGAGATGGTGTAGCCACCGACATGAGATCATGCATTCCTGGCAGGCACCCCCAAAGCTCAAGCCCATGCGGTTACACTCACTACTCACTATACCGTCGCAATTATCTGTTCTTGCCTGTCCTCCTCCTGTTAGACTCTAAACTCTATAAAAATAGACGACACTGTGTCTTGTTCTCTGCTGTATCTCCCAGTCTTTAGCACAATGTCTGCCTAGAGCAGCAATCTATAAATGTATTCAAAACAAATGCATATAGAAATGAATAACGATCCGCAGAACTCAGACATAGTGAGTTCCAGTGGGAATGGAATCGAAGCGTGGATCTTCAGAGCAGCCACCAGCATCTTGGGTCAGTTTCCTCATGGGTAAAACGGGGATTATAACCTCTGCTCGGTCTGCTTCACTGGCTGGTTGGGTTGCCCCGTGCCGCACTGTGGGGGTGGGGGGTGGGGGGGGAGCTCTGTGTTGCAC